CTCGTGGTTACCTTGTGGCTGGAATCTTAGCCCAGGTTGCAGGTGAGGCCTTCAGTGCGACAGCCGCTTCCTACCTCGAGGCTACCCTGAAGGCCATCTCGGAAGATCCTTCGGAAGTTGTTAAGGTGTCATGTATCCGAGCCCTGCAGGATCTCATGCCTTCCCTACCTGCTAGCATGACGGCTCCCTTGCAGATCTCAGTTATTTCAGCTATATCTGATTTCGTCTCCGAGCACGACCTCCGTGAGCCTTCCGATAGCGACGACCTTAAAGTTACACTCGCGGAGACACTCCGTGATACAATCATGGTGAATCCTAGTGTGGTCCTCTCATCTATTGCCATCGATGTGCTTTTCAACATTGCCAGCAATGGTGCTACCAATTTCCAGTTAACAATGATTGTAACTGAGGCTTTTGAGGATATCGCAGAAGCTGTTGCAGACCAAGGCCATGATTCCTTTGTCCGTCTTTGCGAAAAGGTGCTACCTTCACTGACAGGGGCCATCGATGTGGGAAACCTCACGCAAGAGAATGCACTGACAAATTTTGCTGCGGATCTTCTGCGAGCGCTCGCGGAAAGAGCCCTCGAGCCTCTCCCAGCTGGGTTTGTGGAGGCCGTCATGCCTAAGCTGAACCGTCTGTTGTTGGATTCGACCGACGCGGAACTTATTCGCCCGGCAACAGAAGCTGTTAGGCATATGCTTTCGCACGACTTCAATCAATTCATCGCGTGGCGTGATCCACAAAGCGGAAAAGAGGCAACTGAGGTTGTCTTGGTGATCATTGATCGGTTGCTGGGTCCTGCTGTTGACGACAATGCTGCGACTGAGGTTGGGCAATTAGCAGCTGAATTAGTGGAGAAAGCAGGATCAGAAAGACTTGGACCTTATTTACCACAACTTCTGCAGGCAGTCGCCCAGCGACTTGCCACTGCTGAGCAAGCCCAGTTCATCCAAAGCTTGATTCTCGTCTTCGCTCGGCTGACTCTGATCAGCGCGCGCGAAGTCGTGGATTTCTTGGCGCAGGTGGACATTGGAGGCCAAAGTGGACTCCCCATCGTGATAAGCAAATGGCTTGAGAACTCCGTCAATTTTGCCGGGTATGACGAAATCAAGCAGAACATTATCGCCTTGGCAACACTTTACAACCTCGAAGATCCCCGGTTAGCACAAGTGCAGGTTAAAGGCGACCTTATCATCCAGGACACCGGCCGCATTAAGACACGATCACAGACCCGCAACAACCCAGATCAATATACGACTGTGGCCGCGCCATTGAAAATCGTTAAAGTCTTAGTTGAGGAGTTGGCTGCAGCGTCCGGAAGCAAAGAGATCGATGCGGCCACGGCTGCAGCCCTAGAGGAAGAAGGCAGTGACGACGACGATTGGGAAGATCTTCCTAGTAACACTCTCGATCTCAGCCTTGGAGTTACTAAACAGGAACTGATGGCATTCGGAGAGGGTGGCACAGAGGGTGTGTTTGGTGTTCGCAAGCGTGATGATGAGACCCAAGCTTTCTTATTGGACTTTTTCAGAAACGCATCCACCAAACCAGAGTTTCAACAGCTCTTTGCGGCCTTGACGCCGACCGAGCAGGACAAGCTTCAGAGCTTAGGATGAGAATTGGGCCACTGGTACAATGCAAAGACTTTGTGATGGTTCGCTATTTCTCTCCAGGGTCGTTTTCTTTTTCTGATCTGTTTTCACGTAGCCTTTACTTCCCCTACCTGTATGTAGCCATGTCCAAAGTATGTAGATGATGACGAATACGATCGTGGTGAGGCAGGATAGGGTTTATGGCTACGATTGTGCGGGCCCGGAACGCTCGAATGGGTGACCTGGTCATTCAAAGCATATTACACAGTAGAAAATTCGAGTGGAATACTGTCCTACGGAACAAGTGTATTGCATGAGAAATTTAGCCCCTACCAGCGCAGCGCCAAGGCCCATGATCTGCAGTCGACATAACTATCGTGGTTAGGCAAAAGACCGTTTGGGAGACAATGAGATAAAAACTAGAGTGACATTTTGTGGTTGCTCAACAGTTATCGACCACCTAGTACATGTGGTGGCTGGTCTTGGCGCAGATGAAGGATATGAGCTTTTGAGGGGTATTTCCAAATTTTCCGCGCTAAGTTTCAATGATGCAACGTCCTGGTGCATGACAGTTTGGTGTAGTCTGTTAGTAGTACAGTGTGTAGTGCTCCCAGTTCATCATGAGCACTCGGACAGTATGATTTGTTACCAATCGGAAACATCTCCTACATCCGTAATTGTCGGACTAGATATGCATGGTCTCCAATCCAACCCCTGTTGAGCCACACCAAGAACGAATAACCGTTCGACTTGTCATATCAGTTTGGGAACCATACAAACCTACCGCTAGCTTGCTTTAATTAGTGCTGCTGTGGCCGGTCCTACCTACCACCTCAGCGAACCGTGTACGACAGTTACAGTGAAGCTGTGCAAGACGTATGGTAGACCATTCAAGATGGAGTGAGTACATCCCAACCCTGTCAGTCGATCGAAACTATTTAGTAGAATTTCTGACAGGGCCTAGCCACCAATTAGGTAATATGCTCCAAGTCCGGTCGGGTCGGGCGATGAACATATGGAGTACTCCGTATGGAGGGCCGTGATACCTTCTGCACGTACAGTAGCGCAACCTCATCCGCCCGACAAAGTGGCTGATCGGCCGAATCTGCAGCTTTGATTGGCCTTTCAAGCGGATCCAGCTAATGCGGGGTTCAAAGCTGTCGTATTTTCCAATCCACCTCAGTATTCAACTTGTATTTGTCAAGGAAGAGCTCCGATGCACAAGCATATACGATGAGTTGTAGGACGGAAGACGCGGCACGCTACTATGTTGGGGGCGTATGATCATCAAAGTAAAATTCCAGACCAGACGAACTCTGGTTTAGACCGGAGCGGCTAAGTTGATTCCAGGCGCATCGAGGGCAACAATGTTGCACGAAGGGTTCGGCAGCATTGGCAAAGGACGAATCAGTTCCTGGCGGACAAATACCAAGCAATACCCAGAACCAGTGCCCTGGTGCCCTGGTGCACACCGCCGCCGTCAACAGACCCGACATCCTCTCTCTTGGGTCTGTAAGTTGCAGTCTAGCTTTGTCTAGTAAATACTTCTCTATATATTCACGGTCTACCCCTCGATATCGGAAGTGTCCCTTTTCTTCTTGGCTTTGGTTTTTTCTTTCCTTTCTTTCTTCTTTCTCTGTATATACATTTATCACATTTCTAATTTGTTCCTCCCTTTTCGTGTCTCGCTCCCATACTTCTACCATACTCTACATTTCACGCAACTATGGTGCATCCTAATCTTGATGAGTTTATCGTAGTCGATGTGAGAAACTTCCCCTCCCCATTTCTGCAGCCTGAATTCCCTTTCCTTCCGCTTCCCTGAATTCGAGGAATACAACGTAACCATCTTCCGCGTACCATAAAGACTTCCCAACCCATAACTTTGACTTTTCTTTTTTGCTCTTTCATTTTTTAACATCGAATGACTTCCTTGCCCTTACAGGGGCAATTGGCCTTAATCCTGCACCGGGAAAGTTGCTTCTACGCAAGATGTGGCCAATTCTCATGCCAAAATTGGTGTTAATTTATCTTTTGTTAAATTTTTGCATCAAGTGTTCTGTCCGCTTAGAGTGATCTGGTCTCGGGACCCGGAACGCTCTGAACAATTCTACCCCTCATGCCGGACCGGCGCGTGGCGCTTTCGAGCTCTGTACCAAATCTCAAGAACAATCATTGACCCCACCATAAGACTAGTGACGAAGACTCCCTCTGTGACGCCCAATCCATAATCGATTCCAACCTAAGTCTTCACTCGACAGTCCGAGATTACCAATACGAAAATGGCCGCCGCTACCACGCCTACAGAAACGGGCAATACCCCATGCCGAACGACGAGGAAGAGCAAGACCGTCTGGCATTCATGCACCATCTGTTCAAGCTTCTCGTAGGAGGCGCGCTCTACCGCGCCCCAATAGATCAAGGCCGAACGCCGCAGCGCATCCTCGACGTCGGCACCGGCACCGGTATCTGGGCGCTCGATATCGCAGAGGAATTCCCCGACGCGGAGATCGTCGGCACCGACCTGAGTCCCATCCAGCCCAATTGGGCGCCCCCGAACTGCACTTTTCTTGTGGACGACGCTGAGAGTGAGTGGGCGTTCAGTCCAAGTGAAGCGTTTGATTATATCCACGTCCGCAGTTTAGGCGGCGGTATCTCCGATTGGAAAAAGTTCCTTGAGCAGGCGTACAACCATGTTAAGCCTGGTGGCTGGGTTGAGATCCAGGAATATGAGACCTGGTTGCGCTCTGATGATGGCACTGCTCAACAGGCGTTGATGCTCATGGATTGGCAGTATAAGATCGATGAAGCGAGTAGGCTGTTTGGACGGCATATGAATGTTGCGTCTGATCTTGCTCAATGGATGGAGGATGCTAATTTTATTAATGTTCAAGATGATGTTTACAAGGTATGTGAGAGCATGTTTTACTCAAGTTTGGCCTTTCAGAAAGAATGTAGCTGACAGAATCAAGGCTCCTGTGGGCTCATGGCCCAAAAACAACCGGCTGAAGGAAATCGGAAGAGTGGGCAAAGTCACACTGTACGAGGCCGTCGAACCCTATACACTGGCCTTGTTCACCCGAGTGCTAGGCTACTCGCCTGAAGATGCCCGGGAGTATGTGGACAAAGTGCGCGCAGAGCTTCTCGACGGCTCCCATCATATCTACGTGCTCTACCACTATGTATATGCACAGCGGCCGCTGGAAGATGAAACTAATCAACAAGGTATGAATATGGCTATATGATTACAATGAGTGACACGCATGTATAAGGATTATCTTTTTCTACAATTTTTCTTCAATACCCTCAGTGTTAGCCAGAACGATTGGAGTATATAGGATCGAAAACATAGCTCATGAGCTAATAATAAAGAACATTGCATCTAAAACACTAAAATGTACACGACTATCCCTGAAGAGAGTAACCCACACCCTCTCCAGTACCCATAGCCACCAAGTTGGCCCTCATCTTCTCCGCCCGCTCCCCAACCCCAAACGCAGCATCATCGCGATGAACCCAAGCCCCAACGCCATGCTGCAGAACCGCCGTAGCCCGCACCTTCTTATCCGCCTCATTTCCAGACACCCCCTTCAGCCCAATACTGCCATGCAGCGTCAGTCTGGTCTCCTCCCCACCCTCAGCCTTGCCCCGATACACTCCGCGGTGCAAAATATTGCTATCATAGAAAACCGCATCACCAGGCTGCAGCTCCACAACCAACTGACTTGGCATGTTGGGCTCATAAGGATCCGCGTTCCTCTCCGCCTCGGTCCTCACCCGCCGATGCGATCCAGGAACAACAATAAGCGATGCATCAGGGCAAAGTGCCAAATTATATTGCGCATGACTCTGCTTCCCCTGCGGACTCTTCGACTCCAACAACTTCAGCTCCTCCTCCGGCCCCACCGTCTCGGCGATATCGTCGCGATGCCAGCGCAGCTTGAAATCCTTCGTCTCCGGCGCAACCAGTAGGTTGAATAGCTCCATGACCAGGGGCTCTTCGCCGCCCTCGGTGCGCTTCACGCCGAGGAGTTCCTCTGCGACGGCAAGCACTTTCTCGGAGAAGTAGAAGCGCGCGAATTCGGAGCGGCCCGGCATCTCAGGGTGGAGGAGGTGCTGGACGCCCCAGATGCCGCCCTCCGAGGCGGGAGGCGGCGTTGTCGGCCAGGGGGGGAATTGCTTCGGTACGGTACGGAAGTGTGGCCAGTGGCCTGCCCGGGTCAGGGTGGTGGCTTTTGTGGATACGGCGCGGAACTGGGCGACTTCTTCGGGGGAGAGGAGGGAGCGGACGACGACGAAGCCGTCGCGTTGGAGGGCGTCGAGGTGGGGGGTTGATTGGACGGTC